GTTGTGGTTATTCTGGCATCCTCACCAGCATTATTAAACTACTGATAAGTAAACCGTAACACTTCCTATTCTGACAGATTTCAAAATAAAGTCATTACTCGCCACACTGCACCAGTGTTTGAGTGAGCAGTGCCAAAAAGCACCAATAGAAACTGTTTCCAAACAAAACACACTTTACATACAGCAGCTGTTGACAGCCCGCTTTAGCTTGCTCTGCTTATTCATGCGTGTCCTTTTGTCATCGTCAGAAACACAGGAGGGCGTAGTGACGCAGAAAACGTGACAAGCACACCTTTTTATAAGACTTTTCTTTAAAACACATATTGGCACCAATGGAATTTATTGCTACTAAGAAACGGCATGTCAAGAGCCTCTCTCTGAGTTACTTCCTGGGAATTTTGACTAACCCAGGCTAGCTTAAAAAACACCGGTAGGTTAAACCTGCACATCCCTTTCAGTGAGTAGCGTGGCCATTTTACATGAAAAACACATTTTTACGGTTGAAACATTACCTCTTTCTTCTTCTGTCCTCCCCCCGGTGGCAGACATACCATTAGGCAGAAAAAAACAGCCAAGACCTGCAGGTTAACAATGGATTTAGCCCAAACAGACGCCATGACGGAAGGATGCTATGAATGCGAGACACGTCTCGACCAAGCGATTGGATCCTACGTTATCCAATCAGCGGAAAAGGATTTGAATATGGAGACCTCTGGGGTTTGTAGTTTTAACGTTCACAGTACTGTCCTGCTAATACGTTTCTGATCCATGCGTTGGAGGAGGCGTAGCCAAAAAACTGTATTATTTCCATGATTTAGGTTTGCCTCTCATTTATAATCTATGACCCTGACCTAAGTAGTTAATGAAAAAAGCCAGGCTGTAGTCACATCATTATTCTGTAGAATTATGATTTCAGGGCAACCAAGTGAAGCTAAAAATATACATATATGAAATAAGTACTTATTTGAATACATCAAAAAATACATGCATGGATTTTATATTATAATTGACTTGTTTATTCATTCTGTGGTTTTAAGTCACAGTCCGTTGGCAGTCTGTGGGCTTCAGACCGCCCATCTACACAGAGAGAGAGAGTCTGTTTTCTGATGTGGAAGTATCAATAAATGTGGTACAACCGGTTTGTGGGTTTCCTTGTGCTGTTTTTGATCTGTCAGACAACTAAAGAGAAGAGCAAAGTTAAAACATATAAGGAGCTGAGGTTAAACCAAGTGTTAAAAGCAATTAAATGTGTCCATAGCAGCCTCTGCCTACTTTTCTTAATGTAATTTTTGATCTTTGATTTCTTTTTTTTCTTTGCACGTCTCTCGTTTGTACTAAACTGCTGTCACTTCTTTTCCTGACAGGTCCCCTAGTCACCCAATCAGTATTTGGCCAATACACAGCATTATGCATGTTGGGCAATGTGCAGTTTGGATTTCGGAGGATTTCACAGGAGCATGTTTGTCTGTGGGCAAACAGATACAACACGGTAGCATAAATTAAACATTACGCTGCCCAGTACAACATAGCGTGTTAGGGTGAAGATGCTTTCCTTTCTCGCTGTCAGAAGGAGAATAGAGGTCTCTAGAGTGGATTGCACCGGACATGGGTCTTAACTTTTTTGGTCACTTTATGCATTTTAATAGCTTTCACAAACTTAACTCTGTAATTTCTTAGCTGCAGTGGCAAGCTACAGAAATTCTGTAATACGTTTTGCTTTATTATCTTAATTTTCTGTAGTGCAAGATACACTTAAGATACACTTAAGATACACTTACACATTTTTTTGCAAATTTGTGTCTGTACAGAACCCCACTGGATTTTAAGTCAAACAATTAAGATGTGATTGAAGATAACAATTTTGCTTTAATTTAGCACTGATAACAAAAGTACTCCATTATTCTGCTTTTGCGGGGCATTTTTGGGTCATTATCTATTTGTACTGTGAAGTGAAATCAGATCTGTTTTGCAGCATTGGGCTGAATTAAAAAATTGTCCTGTATTCTTCCGGAGTTCTGCTACTTCTATCAGCAGTTAT